ATTTTCAGTAGAGATGGGGTTTCGGCATGTTGCCCAGGCCAGTCTCGAACTCCTGGACTCAAATGATCAGCCTGAATCGGACTCCCAGAGTGCTAAGATTACAGGCGTGAGCACTGCACCCAGCCTTTCGTACGTGTATTTTCCATTTGTACCTCCTGTCTGATAGTTATCTATCATGTTCTTCTCTTCATATCATTGCTGCGTAATTGCACCCTTATTATCAAGCTGAGCAATTTCTTTAAAAGCACAGAAAAACCTCTCTTCCTCTGTCCAACCTCCTATTTTATATTGCAGGACAAGGAATAATCGGACAGCAATAGAAAGTCAAAACTGCAGGCTGGGTGCGGTGGCTCACACCTGTAATCCCAGCACTATGGGAAGTGGAGGCAGGTGGATCACCTGAGGTCAGGAGTTTGAGATCAGCGTGCCAACGTGGTCAACCCCCGTCTCTATTAAAAATACAAAAATTAGCAGGGGCGTGGTGGCAGGCACCTATAATCCCAGCTACTGGGGAGGCTGAGGAAGGAGAATCACTTAAACCTGGGAGGCGGAAGTTGCAGTGAGCCAAGATTGTGCCACTGAACTCCAGCATGGGTGACAGAGCGAGACTCCATCTGAAAGAAAGAAAGAAAGGAAAGAAAGAGAGAAAGAGAGAAAGAGAGAGAGAGAGAGAGAGAGAGAGAAAGGGAGAAAGGAAAGGAAGGAAAGGAAGGAAAGGAAAGAAAGGAAGAAAGAAAGGAAGAAAAGAAAGAAAGAAAGAAAAAGAAAGAAAGAAAAAGAAAGAAAGAAAGAAAGAAAGAAAAAGAAAGAAAGAAAGAAAGAAAGAAAGTCAAAACCGAAGAAAAACTGTTATGTGGGTAATTTTTGAGTTTCTTGGATTTTTGCCGAAATCTAACATGACCCTCAGAATCAGGAAATGCAGACGCTTCCATACCTGAATAGCAAACTGAAGAAGCAGGTGGTCAAGCACGCTCCAATCGTGAAGATGTAGGCCAATTGCATGTTGTAGGATGCCCCACTGTTCCCGTGCTGGATGGTGGAATTGGTGTAAAAGCCATAGTACATCACTGTGTCCCTAAAATAACCCTGAAAGGGACAATAAACCCTAGGTCAGGTGGATCTCCTGAAAAAAAAGGTAAACGACTATGGTCATGAGAGTTGACTTCTCCTGAATACAAGAAGCTTGGGCCAGTCAGTTTAGACATTTTGTTGTTCAGGAAAGGGGCACTGAGAATTGAGATATGGTGTCACTGGGCTCTCAGACTTGAAAAGAAATCCAACATAATTTTATAATTTTAGACCGTTGGTTTAAACAACAGAAATTTATTTTCTCACGGTTCTGGAGGCCTGAAGTGCAAGATCAAGATGTCAGCAGGGTTGGTTCCCTCTGAGGCCTTTCTCCTTGGCTTGTAGACGGCCACTGTCTCCTGCCTGTGTCTTCATGTGGTTGTCCCTCTGTGTCTTAATCTCCCTTTTAATTTTACAAACTGTCACCTGGACCCAGTGACCAAGTGAAACATCAGCAAGAACACGACAGCCAGGCCTGTCGTGTCACCAGTATTATGTGCCTCTGTCACCAGTATTACGGCTAAACATGCTTAATAGGAAACAAATCAAGCCTTTAGGCCTACATTTCAGTGCACAGGAAATAAGAAGCCAGATAAACAAATTCTAGAAACTACTAGGAAATAATCAGACAATACCAGAAGGTAGGATGTTGGAATCTACATAGCGGCAGGTCCAATTTCTGCAATAAGCCAATGTCAAGAAAAAAGGGGCTGGCCTGGGGAGATGATTTTTTATTTATTTATCTTTTTTGAGATGGAATCTCACTCTGTCGCCCAGGCTGGAGTGCAATGGCAAGACCTTAGCTCACTGCATCCTCCACCTCCCAGGTTCAAGCAATTCTCCCTGCCTCAGCTTCCCTAGTAGTGGGTACTACAGGCACCCGCCACCACATCCGGTCAATTTTTGTATTTTAAGTAGAGATGGGGTTTTGCATGTCGGCCAGGCTGGTCTCCAACTTCTGACCTTGAGTGATCCACCAGCCTCGGCCTCCCACCACACCCAGACGATTATTTTAGATTAATAGAGATTTAAGGGGGAAAAAAAGCACAGAATGTAAAATCTAATTGTTGACTGAATCCTAGTCTGAATAAGCAAGTTATGAAAGACATTTTGGGGTCCAGGCACGGTGGCTCACACCTGTAATCCCAACACTTTGGGAGGCCGAGGCAGGTGGATCACTTGAGGCCAGGAGTTCAAGACCAGCCTGGCCAATATGGTGAAACCCCATTTCTACTAAAAATACAAAAAATTAGCCAGGTGTGGTGGCACATGCCTGTAATCCCAGCTACTCTGGAGGCTGAGGCATGAGAATTGCTTTAACCTGGGAGGCGGAAGTTGCAGTGAGCCGAGATCGTGCCACTGCACTCCAGCCTGAGTGATAGAGCAAGACTGTGTCTCAAATACATACACACATACATACATACAAACATACACACACACATACATACATACATACATAACATTTTGGGCTGGGCGCAGTGGCTCACACCTGTAATCCTAGCAAATCCCAGCACTTCGGGAGGCCAAGGCAGTCAGATCGCTTGAGCCCAGTAGTTTGAGACCAGACTGGGCAACATGGCGAAACCCTATCTCTGCAAAAAACTACACAAATTAGCTAGACATGGTGGTGGCATGTGCCTGTAGTCCCAGCTACTAGGGAAGCTGAGGTGGGAGGATCATTTGAGCCTAGGAGTAGAAGGTTACAAGGAACTGAAATCGCACTACTGAACTCCGGTCTGTGTGACAGAGGGAGACCCAGTCTCAAAAAAAAAAAAAAAAAAAGACATTTTGGGGAAAATTGGGACAATCTGAATATGGTCTGGATTTTAGATGATACTAATTTTTAATTTTCTTAGGTGCGATCATGGTATTGTGACTGCAGGGAGGTGTGCTTATTTTTCAAAGATGAGTGTTGAAAAATTTCAGGGTAAAAATATCTTGACATCTGTAGTTTACTTTAAAATGCTTCCAAAAATAATGAAAGAAAACAAATATGGCAATTTAAGACCTACACAGTGGGTATATGGGTGTTTATGATACTACTCTGTATATTTTTGTATGTTTGAAATTTTTCATAATAAAATGTTCCCTATATTCAAATATACACAATATATATACTGGGCTGAGCATGGTGGCTCATGCCTGTAATCCCAGCACTTTGGGAGGCTGAGGCTGGAGGATTGCTTGAGGCCAGGAGTTTGAGACTAGCCTGGGCTACATAGTGAAACCCCGTCTCTACAAAAAAAATTTTTTTAATTAGCCAGGCATGGAGATGTGGGCCTGTAGTCCCAGCTACTGGTGAGACAGAGGCAGGAGGATTGCTTGAGTCTGGGAGATCAAGGTTGCAGTGAGCTGTGCCTGCACAAGTGCACTCTAGCCTGGGTGACAGAGTGAGACAAAAGAAAGAAAGGAAGGAAGGAAGAAAGAAAAGAAAGAAAGAAGAAAGAAAAAAGAAAGAAAAGAAAGAAAGAGAAAGAAAGAAAGAAAGAGAAAGAAAGAAAGAGAAAGAAAGAAAGGAAGGAAGGAGAAAGAGAGAGGGCAAGGAAGGAAAGAAAGAGAGAAAGGTAAAGAAAGAAAGAAAAAAAAGAAAGAAAGAAAGAAAGGGGGGAAAGAAGGAAGGAAGGAATGAAGGAAGAAAGGAAAAAAGAAAAAGAAAGAGAGAGGGAGGGAGGGAGGGAGGAAGGAAGGAAGAGAGAGAAAGAGAGAGAAAGAAAGAAAGAAGAAAGAAAGAAAGTACAATCCTATCCTCCTTTTATTTTTAAAGGCATAATAATCTATGCATCTGTCATCTATTATTTACTCATTTTTATCAAGTATGTATCTATCAATGTTTGTACAGGGAGAAAAAAACAGTCTACAAAGATATATCTCAAAATGGGGAGTTGGACAAAGGAAAAATATAAAAAGAACTTTCTTCTACTTTTCTTCTATAGTAGGAATTTTTCAAAAGGAACATTGTATTTTGTAGAAATAAAAGTAAAAAGAAAGAAAACATAGATCTATAAACACCAACACAAGAAGATGTCCACCACATACTGCTAAGTAAAAAAAAAAAGCAAATTGTAGATAATATGCAATGAATAATTCATCTTTTGTAAGAAAAGAAAAGGATGCCTCTGTACATGCACAGAAGTGTCCATATGTTTGCCAAAAAAGTGTGTAGATAAAAACAAACTGTTCAAGATGGTTGCCTCTGGAAACAGAAATTCCACTATGATGTGTGTATATTACTTTGCAGGAAAACACTTTATTGGTTAAATGATTGATGATTGAGACAAGGCCTCGCTCTATTGCCCAGGCTAGAGTGCAGTGGGGGAATCTTGCTTCACTGCAATCTTCGCCTCCTGGGCTCAAGCAATCCTCTCACCTTAGCCACCCGAGTAGCCAGAATTACAAGTGTGCGCCACCATGCCCTGCTAATTTTTGTATTTTTGTAGAGACAGGGTTTTGCCATGTTGCCCAGGCTGGTCTCCAACTCCTGAGCTCAAGTGATTCACCTGCTTTGGCCTTCCAACTTGCTGGGATTACAGGCATGAGTCACCACACTCAGCCAGGAAAACATTTAAACATCCACTTTCCCCATCAGTTGACCCCCAGACAAAATGAGATGTGTGAGTGTGTGACCGGCAAGCCATGTCCCTGGGTTTCCAAGGCAATTGGTGCACTTGGGGTAGGGGAAACGGAGAACTTACCACCCCAGTGAAAAGCTCCAGCCCAGTGAACTGGAGGGTGTTCTTTTCGGCTACGGTAAACTGAGGGATTATGATGAAACTGAAGTTCACGATGAATGAGAAAATGTTGAACTTCAAAAGCCATCTCAGAAAGTTGAAATAGGAGAGGACGCTGGTTCCAAACTTGCCTCCAATGATCTTCAGCGTCTTCTGCCACAGGCTGATGGAACTGAGAATTTCCGACAGGCTGTTCTTGGATCTCCGATAAGCCTGGAGTCAGGATTCAAAGCAGGTGGCTTGCTGTTGACTCAACAAATATTGACTGAGCAGGTACCATAATAACAAAAAAGGCCACCATGTCTGGAGTATTGTTAAGTGCAGGCACCGTGCTAGGCATGTTTACAAACATTATGCCACCTCTAAGGTGGGGGTATTATGACCTTCCCAGGTTTGCTGTTGAAGGTGCCACTCCCAATGGCCAAGTTGGCCAATGAACTCAGCAACCTCTTAGTTCTTCCCCACACCCACCTCGTTTTCTCACACCTGTGCTAACCGATGGCTCTGGGCAATGAAATTGCTCTGATTTTTGGTTCGTCTTCTCCCTGAGTCCCCTTCATCCTCACTCTCCTCCCTCCCTGTTTTCACCCTCTTGCTGTGCCTGTTTTACTGACTTACCCGTGAAATGGAGTTCAGACACTGAACACAGCAATTGAGCTGAAGGATACGATGGGTCTGTTTGCTTTTTTCTTTGTCAACTATTTTCCTGTAGGGAACAGCAAGAGAATATGAGAGATACAAATGTTGTAACTCATTCAAAAAATAGTTACATGGTGACTCATGCCTGTAATCCCAACACTTCGGAAGGCTGAGGCAAGAGCTCTGATCGCTGAGGCCAGGAGTTCAAGACCAGCCTGAGCAAAACAGTGGGACTTTGTCTCTATTAAAAAAAAATTAACAAAAAATAGCTGGATGTGGTGGTGGCGCCTGCCTGTATAGTCCCAGCTACTCCAGAGGCTGTGGTGGGAGGATTACTTGGGTCCCAAAGTTCGAGACTGCAATGAGCTATGATCACACCATTGCAGTCCAGCCTGGGAAACTGAACGAGACCTCATTTCTTTCCTTCTTTCTTTTTTTTCTTTTTTTTTTTGAGACGGAGTCTCACTCTGTCACCCAGGCTGGTGTGCAGTGGCCTGATCGCGGCTCACTGCAGCCTCTGCCTCCCAGGTTCAAGCGATTCTCTGCCTCAGCCTCCCGAGTAGTGGGATTACAGGCGTGCATCACCACACCCTGCTAACTTTTGTATTTTTAGTAGAGATGGGATTTCACCATGTTTGCCAGGCTGGTCTCGAACTCCTGGCCTCAAGTGACCCACCCGCCTTGGCCTCCCAAAGTGCTGGATTACAGACGTGAGCTACTGCGCCCAGCCAAGACCTCTTTTCTTTAAAAAAAAAAAAAAAAAAAAAAGTTATTGAACTCCTATGATGTGTTGGACATCATCCCAGGTGTTAAGACAACAAACTCCCTGGTTTACAGAGCTGACATCCTAGTTGTAAGTGAAAGACAGTAAGCAACAAATACAATAATAAAGTAGGGAAACTATCTAGTATATTAGAAGGTGATTTGTACTATAGAAAAAGAAAAAACAGAGTGGGGTAAAGAGATGGGAAGTAATGGGGCGGGGACAGTATTACAATTTGAAACAGGGTGGTAAAATCTGAGCATTGCCCTATTTGAAGGAGAGGAGGGATTCATATAAAAATGTCCTGTGCGTAGGGAACAGCCAGCACAAAGCACCAAGGCAGGCAGCACAGCAAGGGGGCCAGGGTGGCTGGAATGGAATCAACAAAGGGAAGGGAGGAGGATATGAATAACATGCATGGAGCAAGTATCCCTATATGTCAGTGGTTCTGATATGGCTTGCCTCTGTGTCCCCACCCAAATCTCATCTTGAATTGTAATAATCCCCGTGTGTTATGGGAGGGACCCGGTGGGAGGTAACTGAATCATGGGGGTGAGTTTTTCCCATGCCGTTCTCATGATAGTGAATAAGTCTCACGAGATCTGATGCTTTCTGTGTCTTTTTGTTTGTTTGTTTTTGAGATGGAGTCTTGTTCTGTTGCCCGTGCTGGAGTGCAGTTGTACAATTTCAGCTCACGGCAACCTCTGCCTCCCAGGTTCAAGCGATTCTCCTGCCTCAGCCTCCCGAGTAGCTGGGATTACAGGTGCCTGCCACCACACCCAGCTAATTTTTGTATTTTTAGTAGAGATGGGGTTTCACCATTTTGGCCAGGCTGGTCTTGAACTCCCACCTCAGGTGATCTGCCCACCTTGGCCTCCCAAAGTGCTGGGATTACAGGCATGAGCCAGTGTACCCAGCCAATCTGATGGTTTTATAAAGGGCAGGTGCCCTGCACATGCTGTCTTGCCCATAGCCATGTAAGATGTGCCTTAGTTCTTCCTTCATTCTCTGTCACGCTTGTGAGGCCTCCCCTGCTGTGTGGAACTGTGAGATACAGGTTCTCAACCTACGGGGATTTTACCCCCCAACAATTGGCAATGTCTGGAAACTTTTTTGGTTGTGAAACTAAGGAGTGGAGAGGGGGTGCTATTGGCATCAAGTACGTAGAGATCAGAGATGCTGCTACACACCCTACAATGAACAAAACAACCCCCACAACAGAGAAAGATCCAGCCCTAAGATGTTACTTGTACCGAGATTGAGAAATCCTGCTATAAGGTCTTTGGAGCCCCTATTGAGTGACAGCGGGAGCCATGCAGAGTTTGAAATGGAAGTGTTTTCAGAAAGACACAGTCACAATTGGTCTCCTTACCCTTCCATGAACTCACCACATCTGCTTTGTTCTGGTTCTTTCCTGGCTTTCTTTGGTCCACCTCGAAGGCCCAACCCAACGTCATTGTCAATTGTCTTTAAAAGCCCAGCTCAAATGCCCCCTCTGTCCGTTTTTCCCCAGCAAAGTTAGGGAGGGCAGACCTTTCTGGTCCTCCCATTGCAATCTCTTTCTATTTTGATTTGACTTGATTTGCTTTCTGCCATTTGTAATTTACTTGTTCACAAATCTATTCCACCCTGCCAGGCTTTGAAATTTATCTTTGAAACCTCAGAAAATCTGGCATCCTTGAATCACTTACTAGTAATTGTTGTTGCATCCACTCTACTACTTTCTGCCAACTATCTCAAATTGAAAAAAAAAAAAAAAGATTAAGCAACAATTAATGTAAACTCTGAAGGCTAAAACAGCCCTTACCCTCGGAGTTTGAATTACTGAGCTTATAAAACCCCCCAGATCTTTCTTTTTTTTTTTTCCCCCCCCCCATTACGAGTCTTGCTCTGACACCCAGGCTGGAGGGCAGTGGTATGATCTTGGCTCACTGAAACCTCTGCCTCCCAGGTTCAAGCAATTCTCCTGTCTCAGCCTCCCCAGTGGCTGGGATTACAGGCGCGTACCACCACACCCGGCTAAGTTTTGTATTTTTAGTAGAGATGGGGTTTCACCATGTTGGTCATGCTGGTCTCGAACTCCTGACCTTGTGATCTGCCCATCTCAGCCTCCCAAAGTGCTGGGATTACAGGCGTGAGCCACCGTGCTCAGCTGGTCTTTATTTTTTAAGTAAAGTTTTTATTTAGTGTAGTTTGAGATTTACAGTAAACTTGCAAAGACAGTAGAGAAAATTTCCATATATCACTCACTAGTTTCCCCTGTTAACATTTTACATTTCCATGGTAGGTTTCTCAAAACTAACATACCAGTATTGGTACATTACTATTACCTAAACTCTAGACTATTCAGATTTTGCCAGTTTTTCCACCGATGTCCATTTTCTATTCCAGGATCTCGTCCAGGATACCACATTGCATTTACTTGTCACGTCTTTTTTAATTTTCATTTTTTGTAAAGATGGAGTCTCACTATCATGTCCAGGCTGGTCTTGAACTCCTGAGCTCAACTAATCCCACCACCTTGGCCTCCCAAAGTGCTGGGATTACAGGCGTGAGCCACCACACCCGGCCTGTCATATCTCTTTAGAACTTTCTACTCCATGACAGTTTCTCAGACTTTTCTTGTTTTTGATGACTTCGACAGTTTCAAGGGATACGGGTTGAGTGTTTTGTAGAATTTCCTTCAGTTGGGATTTGCCTAATGTTTTTTGCTGTTTAGACTGCGGTTGTGGGTTTTAGGAGAGAGTAGCACAGAGGAGATGTGTGTCCCCCGTCACATGACTTATCTTTGGGGATGCCAAGGCAGTATCAGGCAGACTCTCCACTGGAAAGTTCCACCCCTCTCTTCCTCCCACGCCCTATTCTTTGGAAGCAGCTCACCAAGCAGAGTCCACACTCCAGCCCAGGAGCATGAATTAAGCTATAGCCCCTGGAGAAAGGAGTGCCTACAGAAGGCATTTTAAATTTTTCTGTCAGGAAGATTTGTCTCTTCTATTGTGCTTATTTATTTCTTATCTTTTTGAGATGGGGCAAAAGCAGAAGACTGAGGTTCACATGAAATCTGGGACAGAAGAAAAGCCTTTGGCCATACCTAAGGTTCCTTTTCTCTTCCATGGTCCTTGGCTGGTTCCTGATGGCTTTAATTCTGTCTCTGGATGTCATGGGTATAAGAGATGCAATTAACTTCTGTCCTATGAAAGAAATTAATGGAGTTTAATTTCTTTTTTCTTTAACAGAATCATAACACTAAAATGTGGTCCTGAAGTCAGAGCATGTAACACAAGGAAAGAAGTATATGGACTTGGGGATCTCAAAGATCACAGAGGAAAACAACAAAAAGACACATATATGTGTTAAAGCTCAAAGCCAGAGCAAATGAATAATGGCTGCACTCTCTTCCAATTCAGTGTTTTTCTTTCCTGCAACAAAAAACATTTAGCAAAGTCTACGAGGTCCTGCAGATTTGGTCAGGCTACCTCTTCTCTCTCACTATTTTGGGTTTTTTTTTCGAGACAGAGTCTTACTGTGTCACCTAGGCTAGAGTGCAGTGGCACAATCACAGCTCACTGCAACATTGATCTCCTGGGCTTAAGCGATCCTCCCACCTCAGCCTCCCAAAGTGTTGTGATTACCACCATGCACCACCATCTCTGGCTAATTTTTTTATTTTTTTTGTAAAGCCGAGGTCTCACTACGCTGCCCAGGCTGGTCTTGAACTCCTGGGCTCAAGCAATCCTCCCACCTCAACCTCCAGAGTAGCTGGGACTACAGGCACACACCACAACAACGAGCTAATTTTTTAAAATTATTGTTATTTGTAGAGATGGGGTCTTGCTATGTTGCCCAAGCTGGTCTCAAACTTCTGACCTCAAGAGATTCTCCCACCTCAGCCTCCCAAACTGCTAGGATTACAGGTGTGAGTCACTATGCCTGGCTCTCTTGTTTTAATATCCCACATCACCTCCTTTTGCCCCTGACCCCAGGTTCAAGAGACTTCTCACATTCCCTGACTATTGCTGAATGCTCTCCCACCTCCCTAGAAGTACGCCCTCCTTTTCTCCTGCTAACTCATATTCACATTTGCAGTCAATCTGGCAGACGCTATTGGTTGTCTACCCCAAATTCATTTCCTCCTTGTTAATGGAATCCCAATTGTGTTTAGGAATCTACCTGCCTCCCTCACATGGCCCTGAGCTTCCTTGAGGTGGAGCCTATCTCCAGGCCCAAAGAGCAAGTCTTAGTCTGAGTGAACCAATCCTCACGGTCCTGTCCCTTTCCAGGTGACTGATTTAAGCACAGGCACATGACACAGCATTCGCCAATATCCTCTGAGAGGTGGTGTGCTGAGAAATTTCTCGGAGAAGATTTTTTCCTTCTCAAAAAAAACAAAAAAAAAGGCAAAAACCAAGAAAAACACAGATGTCTCTTCCTCTGATTATTGTTGTGTCTGCATGTGATGTGAGACGTGCTGTTGCCATCCTGTAACAAAGAAGCCAGCAAGCGGGGCAGTAACACGGGGCTGAGGGTGGCTGAGGGACGGAGGGAGCAGGCTGGCTCCTTGCTCACAGCGCAGGGCTAGAACTGCCCACTGGCAAATACCGTCCTCATTGTAATGACATAGTTGAGGTGTAAGGGGAATCCCCTAAAGAGGACCACCAACTCTCTCTGCTGAAGATGAGGAATTTGTGCCTCTCCTGGGCAGGAAGGGTGAGTACACTGAGAGGAAGAAAGACGAAAGAGGGAAATATACAGAGATCCAGGGAGCCAGCAGTGTGAGAGGTGATGCCCCAATCTTCTTCAGTAAAGGGGCTAAACCCACTAAATGCTTTGTGTAAGTAAAGGGATGTTTTTCTTCTCCCTGAAATCATCGAGAACTGCTAGACTTTATGCCTGGAATACCATGGGGATGAAACAGAAACAGCATCTCTGGGCCGGACACGGTGGCTCATGCCTGTAATCCCAGCACTTTGGGAGGCTGAGGCGGGCGGATCACCTGAGGTCAGGAGTTCAAGACCAGCCTGGCTAACATGGTGAAACCCTGTCTCTACTAAAAATACAAAAAAAAATTAACCAGGCGTGGTGGCAGGTGCCTGTAATCCCAGCTACTTAGGAGGCTGAGGCAGAACTGCTTGAACCCAGGAGGCAGAAGCTGCAGTGAGCTGAAATCATACCATTGCACTTCAGCCTGGGCAACAAGAGTGAAATTCCATCTCAAATAAATACATTAAATTAAATTAAATTAAATTAAAAGAAACAGCCTCTCTGTTGGCCTCAGGAGCAGAGAGGCTGGAAGGTGTCAGCTAAGATCTGGTTTCCTGATGGTCTTGCCAACAAGAGGTGTCCTATCTGTTGCCTGAAGCCAGGGTGAGGAGGAATCAGCCCAAAATGAGACAGCGTGGTGGTTAAGGATGCAGGCTTGAGGCTGGACATGGTGGCTCACGCCTGTAATCCATCCCAGGACTTTGGGAAGCCAAGGTGGGCAGATCGCCTGAGGCCAGGAGTTTGAGACAAGCTTGGCTAACATGGTAAAACCCCATTTCTACTAAAAATACAAAAATTAGGTGTGGTGGCATGCACCTGTAATCCCAGCTACTTAGCAGGCTGAGGCATGAGAATCACTTAACCCTGGGAAGCAGAGGTTGCAGTGAGCCGAGATCATGCTTCTACACTCCAGCCTGGGCGACAGCAAGACTTTGTCTCAAAAAAAAAAAAAAAAGAATGCAGTCTTGGGAATCAGATAGACCTGTATTTGGGCCCCAGATCTTCCAGGTCACTAAATTTATCTGATCTATAGTTTTCTCATCAAGTACATGGAAATGCCTGCCTCAAAGGTGTGGCATGCAGAGAGTACATAAAACTCAATACGACGGATAAAAAAAGCAGGTGCTCTGCAGAGCACAAGGCATATGAAATAAGCTTGATAAAAATAAGCTCTTGGTAGGGATGTCTTAAAGTGATCCCTTCCTTTGTCCTTGGCTTCCTTAGTTCAACCACAAAAGCTTCCGCCCTTCCATATTACTCAATGTCCTTCTTTTAGAGACAGGATCTTACTCTGTCACCCAGGTTGGGTTGCTGTGGTGCCATCAGAGCTCGCTGCAGCCTCCAACTCCTGGGCTCGAGAGATCCTCCCACCTCAGCCTCCTGAGTAACGGGGACCACAGGTGTGCACCGTCCTGCCTGGGTATTATTTTTTAAATTTTTTTGCAGCAATGAAGTCTCCCTTTGTTGCCCAGGCTAGTCTCGAACACCTGGGCTCAAGCAATCGTCTTACCTTGGCCTCCCAAAGCAGTAGGATTATAGGTGTGAGCCACCATGCCTGGCCCCACTTGATATCTAAAAAGTAAAATATGCTGGGGAAAATGAGGATGTCTTTTATCCTACTCCCCTACTCCTTTTCCCCAGCATTTCACTACCTTGAACAGTTTCATGTGAAGAACCAGGAGTGTCTATGCCCATGCATTCTAGGCTATGAAGAGTCTGGGACATCGATTCATTCAAAGATGTTGAAAACTGCAGCACCTGGTTGCCCTTTTGGTCATTCCTTTTGCTGACTGTCTGAGAGTCTACCACATCGATGTCAGATATGGATGAAACCATGTTGATGCTTGAGTCTAGCAGCACCTTTTCCTGAAAAATCCGATTTGAGGATGGGTGGCTTTGGACCCCAGAGGAAACATTCTCAACCTCTATGATGATTTCATTCACGTGGTCATCGGATAGCATCTCCTGCCTCCTGCAAGCCTTCTTCCCCTCTGGGGTGGGCTTCCTGAGACTTCATACAGCAGTCACGCTGGCATAGATTGGGACTTGCAGGGAAAAAGTAATGATGATCACAAAGGGATACACCATTCACATTTTTTTTTAAATGCCAGGATGAGCTCACCAAAGCCAGCCCTACACAAATCACAACATAACTCCCTGCATCTAACCCCAGAGGAGTTTTTCTCAGGAGGAGGACTGTTTTCCTGCAGAGAATTCTGTCTTGGTAGCTAGGCAAGAAATTGAAAACAGAATCTTTCGTTTAAGACAATGGGGTTCTAGAAACAGAAGGAAGATATTTTTCTAAATGACTCATAGTCAAAGGGCAAGATTTTCTTTTTAATTTAGTGCCTCTGGCCTAGAACTTATATATATATACACACACACACATACATATGTGTGTGTGTGTATATGTGTGTGAATATATATGTATTTATATATAAGTATTTATATATGTATATATACACTTATATATAAATATATGATATTATAGCTTATAATAAGCTAAATATGTATGTATGGTATACACTTATATATAAATATATAGTGTATGTATATATAACACTTATATAATAAAGTATCTATATGTATATATAAGTACACTAAATAATATATACAGTTTATAAATACACACATATTATATACACCACTTAATATATACTTATATACTATAAAATACTTACATTGGTATATATAAACCTTATATCGTATATAGAACTTACATAATAAAAATATATATAAATATATTACATATAATATATATACTTATATATACTTATATTTAAGTATATATACATACAAGTTTATATATACAAGTATTTTATATATAAGTATTTATAATATATGAGAGTGTGGTGTGTGTGGTGTATATATTATATATACTATTTTTTTTGAGATGGAGTCTCACTCTGTCACCCAGGCTGGAGTGCAGTAGCACGATTTCAGCTCACTGCAACCTCCACCTCCCGAGTTCACACCATTCTCCTGCCTCAGCCTCCCGAGTAGCTGGGACTACAGGCACCTGCCACCACGCCCGGCTAATTTTTTGTATTTTCAGTAGAGACGGGGTTTCACCGTGTTAGCCAGGATGGTCTCGATCTCTGGACCTTGTGATCCGCCCGCCTTGGCCTCCTAAAGTGCTGGGATTACAGGCGTGAGCCACCGCACCCGGCTGAACTTACATTTTATATTTGTAATTTTATATGCCTGTAGAAATTCACAAGGGTTTACAGTGATAAAAGTATTATCTCCTGATGCCTTAGGTAGTGGACTCTGCTATTTGTCTGGCTTTCAGTCTCTAGTCTCCTTTTTTCTCATACCAACAAAAAAGTTCCATTTCCTGTGCAGACATAGTGCTCAGAGTCTCCCAGTGTTCTTTGTGGCTAAGGGTGGGCCTGTGACCCAGTTTTAGCCAATGAGACTTGTGGCTTCC